TACTGCAGGGCCGGGTGCTGAGAAACAGAGCATTTTAGCGCCAACACAACACTGCAGCAAAGTTCACAGTTGCCCAACAGGTGGCAGATTTCTCTCCTCTGGACTATCAAGTTGTGGGCATTAATGTGGCAGATGAGGTTTAATGTCCATAAATGAGATGGACTAATGTCTTTATTCAACCTCAAATACTATGTAACTATGTAAGTAGTTATCAGCTGGTTTAGTGGATGGAGAACTCACTAAAAAGAGATTGGCTCTACGTGGGTTCAGAATATGTTCCAAAATTCTCTTTGAATTCCAAAGCTGTTTTATTGATAACTTCTATCAGCCTAATCACAATGGTCTAAGGGACCAATTTTATAAGGGTTTTTGAGGTACAAGTTATATAGTAAGTGTTTAAAATGTTATGGTAGGGAAAATCCATACCTTGTTGTGGCATGAGGCAGCCCCATTTCCCCACAGAAGTCCCACCACCCCTGTATTCTTATAACTGTATCATGAAACTCATACAGAATGATATTCCTCAATCTTCAGTATATCTGGATTAATCCCTGGAAGTACCGTAGATACATTATAGAAACACTGATGAAGGGTCCCCATAGAACCCCCACAACATGTTGGCTTTATTTTTTTTATCTCTATCATTTAAACCTGCCATAAAAGCCTAAATCTGATTGGTAGCTGTAGGGGAAATAACCCAGGCCCTGTAGTTGAACACAGCTCTACCATGTCTCCACATAACATGGTATTCGAGCTGACAAATGTGAGCATTTCTGGTTTTAAGTGGCGAATTAGCTCCACCACTAAGCCAGGCTGACTAGCCTGCCCCCGGGACTAGAGGCTAGGTAGGAATACTCGAGTGCGGGAAACGCTTTGCTAAGCCTCAAGCCTAGAGGAGGCCTTTGCTACTGATTGAGGAGGAGAACCAGGGAAGCTCATGGTTGCTGGAGGTGCCTGGAATAGAGTGGACTTTAGGAGCCATTCTGGTGTCTCTCCTACTGAAAATTCTGTGCCAATCTCTAATTAATGGTTGTTAATATACCCAGTGGCAGTGTGTGCTCCTGTTGATTCTGCCATGGAATTCATAAAGGTAATGGTGAGCCTGGAGTCTGTCTACTTTTCTCACAGATGTTCTAAGCCCTATACCCTCTCCCCCAGCTCAGATGTTATAATAAAGTTCTTCAGCATCATACTTCTAGCCTGGAACTCAGCTCTGTTGGTCATGGGAAGAGGGCAGTTAATGCTAGTGGGGCAGCTGGTTACCGAAATCCCCCAGACAGGCTATGGATGATCCGGGTATTCCATCGGCTCATACGGGGGTACAATCTACACTTGCTTTGGGATACCCTGGGTGAATCCTAAGCACATAAATGGTTTGCTTATGCTTTAAGCCTGTAATATAAGGACACATTCTTTATTTTTTAGCCAAGGATACTAGGACATTGTACTAACGGAAGTTTTTAAATTGTACTCCTGTTTAAAAATATGTATCGTTTTTCCATTCTGTTGGAAATAATGTTTTAAATGTTATTAACAGAAACTGTAGGAGAATAAAAAGGCGTCTAGAAATGAGCTGCTACTTTTCATGTGTAAGTTCTTAGCTAGGAACTGGACCTGATGTCACACAGTTCATAGTAACACAAGAAGTAAGATAATAGACTCTTACAGAGAAAGGCAGAAAGTTTATTGACTTTTATAGGTGGAGACCTGAACTATATTACTGTGTAACTTGCATTGTCAGGTAATACGAATGTGGTGGGGAAGCACAATCATATTTTACAAGCTTCATGGTAGTTCCATGGATCAAAGTTTCATACTTGTACACAAGGAGAAAACACAAACCTTACCCTTATCGTCTCAATTTATCAACTGATATCACTATCCATAACAGCAGTAGGGAAGCTGACCGCTACGTTTTCTAGTAGCTAATGAAATAAGTGAACAAGAAAATGTGCTCTACCTATCCCCATTGAACAAAGGTTTCTTTAACCTGTCATCAGACAAGCAGTTCATGGTGTGTGGAATTCTTTGTAAAAGCACAGGGAAGTCCAGTTCTCAAGACCTGTAGAGAGATATTGTAAACTTGCTGCTGTATGGATCTAACCATAAGGTTCAATTGCATAGCTGCAGTATTACAGCAATTATCCTTAAAGGATTGATGGTCAAAAACTAAAAATGAATCTGTATTTCTATATTGAATTTCCATAAGTTCTGTCCCCCTCCTAATAACCATATGGATCTAGAAGTTTGTAAACTTACTTATTAAAGATGCCCATAGGATGTACTTCCTCAATGCACTGACACCACTTCACTCAGCCCTGTGAATATGAACTTCCTTGTGTCCCAGCTCTCACAGAGTCTACCTTCTGAACTATAACCCATTGTCTGTAAAGATGTAACATTATCATTGCTTGCTGGAAGCAATGCATTATAGGCTATTATAGGCTATAAAGCAAAGTGAGATTGCATTACATTAAGCAACAGGGAAAGAGATACAACGCACTCTGGGAATCCAGGAAGTTATTGAAAGTGATGGACAGACAGAAGGCAGCACTCACTATGTAATTATTTAGGCCTTGATCACTGGGGCTTCAGCTTGTATTAGAATAGTGTGTACAGCAAGCTTTACAAAGCATTTGCTGGCTTTGACAGGCTTTGTGGAAGTCTTTAGAGTACTATTCAGATTCAGTTCTTTAAAGGCCCCTTTCACACGGTCGGATCATGACGGGATCCGTGCATGCATCCCCCGCTGGTTGGAATGGATGTCAACATTGTGACATCTGTGCCTGTCCAGTTTTTTCCTACATCTCATTGGTCTATGGGGAATTGGATGTGTCTGTTAACATCAGATTACCCCCAATCTGCCACGATCAGGTCCGCTAAAACAGAACTCTGTTTCAGTTGGTTTTCTGGACCTGGCCTGGAGCCAGGGGTTACCAGATGTAAACGGCTGCCCATAAACTAACAATGGGATCCGATCAGACCACCCGGAAAAACTGACAGGTAGACCTGAGAGGAAAGCCAGTGTGAAAGGGCTCCAAGGTTTTAACAAACTTGCAGAAAGCTTTACACAAGCTTGCTGTACACACTGCTCTTATGGAAGCTGAAGCTTTTGTGAACAAGGCCTTAGGCTTTACAAAAAAACAAACAATATCAGCCCACCTCCACAATATTTGTTCCTGTGTCTGAATGTGAGCTACCAACATTAAAGCAAAAATAATTTCCAACCAACATTCATTTCTAGGGATGAAAAACAATCTTCCCATTTCAAGAAAATCTTGTAAAATCCCCAAATACTTACCTAAAACTCAGGTCTCAAGACATGCTGGATCCCAGGTTTCCATTCTTCTGCTCCATAGTGTGGGAGGAGTGGGTCTGCTGTGCCCAGGACACTTTAAGGCCCCGTTCACACTGAGCGATTTATCGCGCGGTAATTCCCGCGATATCGCGGCTATTTACCACGAGATATCGCTCTCCAATGCAGGACCCTTTGCCCCATTGCCAAGCATTGGAGAGCGATATCGCGCGGTAAATAGCCGTGATATCGCGGGAATTACCGCGCGATAAATCGCTCAGTGTGAACGGGGCCTAAGGTGACATGGACACTGTCCATTGTCTGCTGGAAGGGCCCATCACAGGCTCCTCATAGGGTCCTGCAGTATTCAGCAGTAATGACTAGGGTTGCCGCTTGTCAAGGATTCACCTATACAGCCCGTTTTCGAGTCTTGTGTTCGGGTTTCCAGCCAGCTGACACCCGGACACAAGGCACTAAATGCTGATATCGGCACTTTACATTTTTGACAGATGTGGTTGCTGAGCAAGCGCCTGACCTCAGGCAGCTGCATCTGCCTGAAGACGCATCCTCCTGTGAGCCGCGGGCGCCTGTAAACAGGCGCAGGACGACCCGCACATCTACTCGTCTGTCTTTCTGACACCAAGCTGGGATTTGTAGTCTTCTATAGACTGTCTCCTTATTCCCTCTCTTGGCTGTCTCTTCTTGCTCTTTCTCCTGGCTGCCCCTCCTCGATCTCTTCTCTATGTTCGACAAAAAAAATTTGCGGGTCGTCCTGCGCCTGTTCACAGGCGCCCGCGGCTCACAGGAGGATGCGCCTTCAGGCAGATGCAGCTGCCTGAGGTCAGGTGCTTGGTCAGCAACCCGCACATCTCCTCTGTCTTTCTGGCACCAAGCTGCTCACCCCAGACCCCTGGTGAGACACTGCACAGCCAGCACAGAAACTGAATGCCCGCATAGCCCACCTGAGACCCTACGCAGCCTCTCGAGAGCCCGCATAGCCCACCTGAGAGCCCACAGAGTCCACCTGAGAGCCATCACAGCCCTGGTGAGAGCCCATACAGGCCATTGCTGTATAATGTATTGCTGGGATTTGTAGTCCTCTATAGACGGTCTCTTTACTCCCTCACCTGGCTGTCTTTTCTTGCTCTTTCTCCTGGCTGCCTCTCCTCGCTCTCCTCCTATGTTCGACAAAAAAAAAGAAAAAATTGCCATGCGCGGCGCTGGAGTGTTAAGGTATCACTTGAAGAAAAAGTGGCAACCCTAGTAATGACACACAGGGGTCAAACACAAGACTGCAGTGATATTATGTCCCTCAGCATCCTCATGTCCTATATACTGTATATAGAATGTGATGACTCACGGACCATAGACCGCTGCACAGGAGGGGTAGAGAGGCTGGAAGGACTGGTGTAAGAACAGTACGGCCCTGTGGTTCGGGTGAGTATGACTTTGTTATTTTCCTCCCACTAAAATGAGCACTTAACCCTTGCAGTGCAGGGGTAGCCCCACTGTAAGGGTTAATACAAATTTTGTCCATTGTTTGTGTATGTGGTAAGCATTACAATAACGTTGTATCGTTGAGGAGATTATGCGGAAAGATGTAATATCCGGTTTGTCCTCTAGGTGGCAGCATGATCCACCTGGATGTGCAGTGTCAGGCTCTGCAGTAGCCGGAAGTGGCTGGGTTTTAGAGAGATCTTGCACCCTTGATTTGGTATATTTAGTGCCCATGCTCGGGTACTTGGCAGCGGCTGCGCTGTGTGTGGCAGCAGTGTTTCTTGTACGTACGGATCTCAGGTTATTGGCCGATCTCCCTGGATTGAACTACCTCTTGTCTGACAAATGTATGGTGAGCGTGGTGAGACTGATAACTAAGGAGGAGCTGTCCAGCTATCATGGGGGACCTGGCAGTCCTGGGATATACCTGGCTGTGCTGGGCCAGGTATATGATGTACACAAAGGAAGCAAACACTATGGCCCTGGGGGTTCCTACAGCTTCTTTGCAGGTACCACAATGAATGATTGTACTAATGTATAGACCTCATTCACCTATGTAGCTTAGCTTCATTTAGTGGGAGTTACAGGCTGGTCACAGGGCACGGAGAAGAATACCATTCCACAACTCTCATCCCTCTAAATTCAAACTATCCAAAATGGGTCAGGATTTGTTTGTGTTGTCCCAAGGCAGCGATATGTAGTCATTGTTAGGTATGTACATGCACATTTTTGGCACTTAACAACCAGCCCCCCCCTCCTAGAAACATAAGTATTGCACCATAAGCAACAGCAGATATTGCTTGCCATTGGCTAAAACAAAAAAATAATAACGCATGATAAAGGCATTAAAATGCATCAGCGTGCACAAACACACATAAATGTGCTACAAAAGCATGAATATGCAGATGCACAAGACCATCTTTTTGCATCAATGAGCCTGGTGTTACCGTCCTTTCAGGAAGATTCCTGGGGACACAGAGCAGGAGAATTCTCAGGAGAAAACACCCCAGTCCACTGCAAAGACACCTTCTCATGAGATTTCATCTGCTCTGTATTACACAGGGTCTAGCCAAAAGGAATGGGATGTCATCTTCAGCTAGGGGATTGGTCAAGGGGGAGGGGACCTGGGCAGTTTAAGCAGAGCTTCCATTATCCAATGTTAACCTAACGCAAACATGTGAGGAAAGAAATGAGAGCTGCTATTGCTGACTTGTTTTGGATGGTGTATGATCCAGGTCTGTAACCCTGATCCTGGCTTTATTACTTGGCCTGGTACAAGCATTCATGTTGTGAGTCTAAGGCTGGGTTCACACCCGAGCGTATTTTTTCAGCTCGTTTTTTTAGCGCGTTTTTACGTTCAGTGAAACGCGCGTTTCACTGGCGGTATGATTTGTTTTTTTCCTTTATTTTCTCTATTTAAAAAAAAATATATTTTTAAACTTCCCGCCGGCTCCGCGGCCGCTCGCAAGTCTACAATTAAAGTAAAAAGAAGTCACACAATTGACAGAACTAGATGACAATGATGCAAATCATAGATGGAAGTGTTGCTTATATACATGATGCCCTTACTTGTGTTTAGTGCCTTTTATTTTTATAACTGTAAGCCCTCAGGGGCAGGGCTCACCTTAACATCTTGTCTTGAATTGTATTGTGATTGTAATGTCTTCCCTATATTGTAAAGCATTGAGCAAACTGTTGGCGCTATATACATCCTGTATAATAATAATAGTAACTATGCCTTCTCTTTAACAGCAAGAGATGCATCTCGAGCCTATGTAACTGGGGACTTCACAGAGGAAGGCCTTGTAGATGATGTCTCAGAACTGTCACCCACACAGATGCTTCATCTCCACAACTGGTTTAACTTCTATCAGAAGAATTATACTCCAGTCGGTAGGTTTTCACCTGACCATATGGTCCTGTAATGCAGAGCGATTCACTGTGGCTTTTCAGCTGATGGCTGTGGCCATAACAGGGAATTCAATTTCTATAGCAGAGCTGGAAAGCTACAGGTTGCCAACTTCTGAGCTCTGTTCTATTTGTTGGAGAAATATCTTGATAAAATAATATTTTTCTTTTAGGAAAGCTCATTGGGAGGTTTTATGATGAGCATGGAATTCCCACGAAGACATTAGAGGATGCATTAGCAATCATTGATATCGGATTAAAGCTTAAAGACCAGAGGCAAGAGGAAAATAAACAGTTCCCGCCCTGTAATTCAGAATTTATTGCTGGTGTCACGAAAGTGTGGTGTACTAAGCACAGGTAAGAAAAGGTACTAGTCTGCCTTATGGGAAACCTTAATGAAGAACTCCAGAAACAAATCAAAAAAATTCCTGGCCCAACTGCAAGGGTTAAATGCTCATTTTGTCTAGGGGAGTCAAATAAAGTAAATATACTCGCCTGATCCTTGGTTCTGCGGCGGTCGGCACTTACCTCTCTCCCCCTCCGCTCTGGCTGTGGAGTGAGTGGATCGGCAAAAGATGTGATGACGTCAGCGGTCCTTAAGCTGGCCATACTGGTATAGATTATCTGCAGATTTTCTGTGGTCAGATGGAAAAAGTGCAACAGATTCCTCCAGCCACACAGTTTAGTGTAGATGGAGGAATCTCCCAGTGGGCCAAGCTTCAGTATCTTGCTTGTTGGCCCCGCTGACTCTCAAAATACCTGAACAATCTGATTGGATACAGGCATTGTTGAGGTGTTTTGAGAGCCAGCGGGGGCCAAGTAGAAAGATACTGAAGATACTGCCTGCGTCAGTTTTATATGCAACAAAACGAAGGTTTCATTTATGTAGCAACATGATGATTTCACCCAGTGATTGTCAGGAGTTTAGGGCCCTTAGCGTACCTCATGTACGCTAAGAAAAAATTCCAGCACAATGGGCGAAGAGGGTTCTTTACAGTAAGAGCGGTTAAGGTCTGGAACTCACTGCTATCGGCAGTGATTTCAGCCAAGAGTTTAGATTTGTTCAAGAAACGTTTGGACAATTTCTTGAGGGACCGTAATATCCAGGGATACCAGTATCCCCAAGAATGAGATGATGCGTGGACCTATATGGGTTGGACGTATGTCTTTATTCAACCCCAAATACTATGTAACTATGTAGTCAAAATCTTAAAAAAGGAGTTTTGACAAATGCCAAACTAGTTGTCTGTTGGCAAAAGCTTTTAGCTCATATGTGCCATATTGAACCAGGAAAAAAGACATAGGTCCCTGCTCAGTGCAAGTCATTTAAGGATGAGTAGATGTCTCATTGGCCACCGTTATTGGTGAGACATCTATCTGTGAATTGTCAACATTAGTATAGTGTGAACAGTTTGTAGTTGAAGTATTGACATTTTTCCATGTTGTCTTTCACTTAGCGGTGGAATCCAGAGGGACTGGGTTGGTGTTCCCAGAAAATTGTATTTAGCTGGCTATGATGGTTATCGCTGTGTTTGTGTCAGGCCGACCGGGCCTCCATCAGAACATCTGGGATCAAAAGGACACAACGATAGAGGAGATGTAGATAATCCTTCCCTTCAGGAGTATAACGACTGCAATCCACTATTTGACTGGTGTCTACTTAAAGAATAAGGAAGTCGCATTGTAAACGTTTATAACCACAAATGAATAACTTATTTTGAAGAAAGAAATGACTGTTTACTTTAAACAATGCAAATATATAGAACAGGAAAAATGATTGTTTTAAACTGGCAGCAATAGAAAGTACATGAGCTCAGTGTGTATTGCATGGCAGGTTTAGTAGGGCAATAAGTGCCAGTAAAACAAAGCATTTTTGACTGATCAGCAATTATTTGACCTTTGCAGTTTTTTGTTGTCTATAAGAATAAATTAATGTTCTTTTTATTTCTATTTTCTTTGTGATTTATGTGACCAGCCTACAATGAAGTACTCTGTGTACTGTATCTATTGTAAGTACCATTAAACAGTCTCTGCTACTTTAGTTTACGTACATCAGTTTGACAGCTTTTAAACAGCACGGTTCATTCACTGAGAAGTAAACAGAACCACTCTTTGGAAATGATAATCTTGAGGGTAGAGATATGTCATATGATACATTTCAGTGGATAGGTTCAGTTAACACTTAAAGCCAGTTCTGACCATAACAAGGGGGTGAAAGCAATGACTTCTGGGATTAGGCATAAGCAGTTCAGTTGACAATAGGGCAATCTTGCAGGTAAAACTGACTACAAAGGATAACATCTGGCTACCACTGCCCCAGCAAAGGTTATTTGATTGCTTAGGAAAAGCAAGTGCAGTACATGCATACATTTGTTGAAACATCCTTCATGGTTCTGAAACCTATGCTGCTTTAAGAAAGCAGTGCAAAGCACACGGTTGATATACTTAAAGCGTATTTCCACTTGCGCAGCAAAATTGGGATGACACCTATTTTATATTTGTTACATGTTCCCATTCTTGCAGTTTAAAATACCTGTATTGGGGGTTTAAGGGTTAAAATTTCTTTCTATTTCTTTGAAAAGTTAGGAGGGATGAGGGGCCTAAGGTGGCTTTACCATTGTATGTTAATGAAATTTATCAGATAAACACAGTCCTCAAATTTTAGTCCCAAGTCTTTCTATAAGGACAGACCACTGTGAAAGGGCTAAGAAAAACCTGAATCAGACATCTTGCCTGATTTATCAAAACATCTAAAAGGTAAATATTTTTTTTAAAAGTAATTTCTCAGTATGCTGTGTGAACAGGGTCACATAAGAAACATATGGAGGGGTTTTCTCAAATTTGACTGCAAAAGTGGAAATACAGCTTAAGATGCATATAGATGGTGTGAATTTCCTGTCCCACATCCTTCGAAAGATGTGAAAATTCAAAGGATCTGGACAAAAAATGATCTAATCAGATAAAGGCTGCAGTGGGTTGATTCCTCTATCCGTGCAGTTTAAAGCAGATAGAGCTTAAGAGCAATTAAAGTTTACTGAACTTAGTGAAAGATGTTCTCAACCCTTTGATTGAAAGACAACTCATTGCTATTTGTGAGCCTCGGAGGTTGGACCTAGATCTGGTGGAGTGATCCAACAGGGCCTGCCATGCCTATGTGCAAATGATCAGCCTCTTCCTAGATGACAACACTGCTACACGGGTGGAAGAGGAGTGCCGTCAACCATATCTCTATCCATAACACTTTGCTTTGAGAAGAAAAAGGAGATAAGGATCCAATGTCTGTTTTTTTTGTGTCTGTCCGGTTTAAAGCGGTTCCTTCACTTCCTGTCCCAGATTGAGCCATTTCCCCTCACCTCCTGCGGTGGCAATCACTGTAAACATTTGGACTTCCCATCACTTTTATCAGCAGCAAAATCCTGACAGACGTTGAGTGTTCCTAGTTTATCAGAATATAAAAGGATTCCTAACTATAAGGAAATGCTGGAAGAAATCAGATCAATTGCAATTGTATTTGCAATGCATTGTTTAAAAAGATGCAGCAAAATTAAAGTTTTCATGTTTCAATTGCTTGGGATTGGGATTTTGCAGTTGTGGCAACATGCTTTGCTCAACATATTCGACATTTTGGTTGAATGGTTGTCCCATTTAGATGGGTCAATGACAATGGGACAACAATGGCATCCATTTTATTTGGATGTCTGAAATCACCTTCTGTTGCAGCACATCAAAACAATTACTTTTACAGGGCTAGTCACAAAAGGGTGAAGAGTTTGGAGAAGGCAGGAGAAGTGAACAATCTAGGACAACATAGCTGAACTGGGAAGTGAGCTGAATTGGAGAATTCTTCCAAATCAGCTATGTTGTCCTAGATTGTTCACTTCTTCTGCCTTCTCCAAACTCTACACCCTTTTGTTAATAACCCTGTTAGTGTCAACCGTTAAACATTAAATATATGGACTCTGCAGTACATTACATTTAGTTTCTGTTGTTTCTAGGCTGTAACCAGCCTGATCTGTTTGCCTTTTTCTAGGCTCTGCGTGTCTTCCCTAATCTCAGTGGGTAACTATGAAAGAAGTTCCAGTAATTAGAGTGTGCAGGACAATCACTGAGTTATAAATATTTATCTGACCCAACCAATCTCTGAAGTCCCTTGTTCAGAGGTATGGTTTGGTAGATAAATATTACGATCACCTTTCCAGAATCCTCTGCTCCCAGGCAGGATGTGTATTTAGAGTGTTAATTGGGCTGTGCCTCAGCCTGGGGCATATTCCAGGTGCCCAATGATTTAAGCGCTCTGCTGCACTGGATCTCATGAGAAAGATGGCCTAAGGATCTTCTTGCTGAAGAGCATCACAAAGGAGCTTGGTTGAAGCTAATGTCTGGACATCGTATGAAGGGTTCATTGTCCACAGATCAAGGTATCTTTGACCGCTTTAAAAGAGTCTCCAAAAGGGCCTGTTAGCAAATGTATGTTAAGTTGTCTACCCCTAAGTTGGACTGCTTTTGGACAACATACAGGTTTGACTTCCTCAATAGTCATTGTCCCTCAATGGAGGAAAATTATTTTTCCTAGAGTCCATTGAGGTACTAATGTCCCTCCCCTCAATGTTTATGATTATACTCTTGCTACTTCTTTGCTACAAAGAGTCATGATGGTAATAAGAGGGTTATACTCTGTATGACCTACAATTTGTTTTTTTACCAGTGTCCAATACTCCTATTGGCGGTAGTATAACGCAAAGGTTTATGACTTCCTGTGTCCCTCAGTGGATGAGAAAGTAATACACATGTATGCATATCAGAGATGCCGTCATCAGAATGCATCTGGGATACTTGTGAAGTCTGTACAGAAACAAAAGAAGTAGTTTTGCAAAATATCCAGCTGCAATCATAAGTAGAATTAGGGTCTGTTTATTCATGTCAGAACTGGTTCTTGCCCCATGCAAGTCAATGTTAATGAACTGTAATTTATCTCAGAAGTGTCTCAAACTGCTCTCAAGTGCAAGCAGAATGCACCTGGAAATAAGCCACATTTGCCCACTGACACAGGTATTTCTGTGTGTATGTATGCTAAGGCCTCATGCACACAGGTTTCTGGGGATTCCGGCACCAAGAACCTGATGATTCTCACAGCAGGAATCCTAGATGTGTCTGCACTGATGTGGCTGCTGTACCCATTGAAGGACAGGGTGACAGCGGGCACATCTGTCTGCGGTTGTTCGCATGTCATCGTACATGGTATGACTACCTGCAGAATGGGAGAGATGTTTGTCTGGGGTGCAAAGAGCTTGCAAGACCAGCATCTCTCCCAATCTGCAGGTATTTGTACCATGTACAATGACATGTGAATAGCTGCAGAGAGATGCGGCCACTGTCACCCTGTCATTAACTTGTATGGTCACAGGTGCCGCATCTGTAGGGACAGATCTTGGATACCCGTTAGCAAGGATCCACAGGTTCTTGCCACAGGAATCTCCAGATGCCCATGTGCACGAGGCCTAAAAGGTGCCCATACCCAGTTTAGTTTGCTCTTCACATCAAATTAGAAATGCATTCTTCCAGTGCTGCCCAACTGGAGACAGTGAGTGAGTTTTGGATGGTACTTCTAACCTTTGAAAGCTGAAGAAATCTTGTATTCAACAAACATAATATAAAAACATACAATGCCTCCACGCAGCTTGGATATTTATTTTTTTTGTAAATCAAATTATTAGGCTCAACATATTTTTTTTCCTTAGGTGTTAGTGTTTAAACAATTTCACAAGTGTTAGGTTCTATGACACAAAGCACTTTGTATCCTGATGAGATGAAAAAAATTTGTGCGTGGTCGGGAATGACAAATGCAAAGTAAAAATAATGATGCAGAACTATACTGACCTATTTGCTGGGAGCAAGTATACTGAAACCCAATTAAATATATGAATGGCGTGCTCAGGATGAGATGGATATACCGAATGAGGAAAGTGCTACAAAGATTTATAATATAGTGTTGGTTATAAAGCTTATAATGTAAGGCCACAATTTAATTGGCTTTCTTCAAAACTGAACCCTGTTTTACAAAATGCTCCTTACAGATTCTCCACCTGAAATCAGGGGTACAGTACAGAACTTTAAAGGTGATGGACATGATTTGAAGACAATGTCAGTGGAGGGGGTAGGAGTCTGAAAAACTCTATAGAGGGCTGACAAGTGACTCGAATGTTAATCCCACTTAGTCTTCTGTCAAGTCTTTATCAAGGTTGCCTTTTTTCCAAACTAGTACACATTTAGCACGGACTTAAAAAAGACGGCGTCCAGTTAGTATCTAATAAAGCCTATACAGGTACAATCAAATTGTTTATACTGGAATATATCATGATATGGTCCTTGCTGAAGTGCAAACGTCTGCAGCTCGACTCGACAGTCTTCAGAAAAAGCTGCCTTTCTTCACAGAGCAATCTGTTTGCAACCAAATGTACTAAGACACTCCTCCCAGAGTCAACACATCGAAGCATATGTTGCAAACCCGAACTGGTTTATTTAAGTCAAACTTGATAATAGGAATCTCTTTCATTGAGCACTTGTGACACAGAAGCCGTCCGCAATGTCGACTGTAAGGAAAGAAAACACAACATATCAATTACCTTCAGCCATGTACAAGCATTATCATTAAAGAGGGTCTGGTACCAATCAACACAAGTATGTGACAATCCACAGAGGAAAGCTTCCATTCTCTAACTACAGAGGTGCATTCT